TATAGGTCTATATAACAGGAACTTTTCAGTTTCCACCACATGGCTATTGCAGCAAATTCATAGATGGGCTCTGGAGCTGTATGGTCGCTACACATGTTTGCTTGATAGTTTATAAACATATTTGAGTACCTGATGAAGGGCAATTAAATATTCATTGTGCCCAGTTTGAGATGAGACTGTGAGCTGAAAGGTGACTGTATGAGACCTGCCACAGCACGCTCCGCTGATCACGATGATCGGCTTTTGGTCGTCCATTACCTGTTTACGTTCGGCAGGGTTACCATCGGCCTCTTCATTCAGTATTAACCCTCGCCGGCACAGGGCGGGGGGGGGGGTGTTGATGCAACCCCCCTAAGGTTTTTCGCGAATAACTCGCGTAAAAAGCGGCTGATCGCGACGACACTTTCAGTACCCTCGCATAGATCAATTTTGCACCTACCCTGAAAATTTCATGACCCTGACCCAAATGACCTTTGACCTGTGACCTCTTTTCCGAGACCATGTTTGGCCGGAATCGCGATTCGGCGTATGTCGGCTCGCATTAGCCGCACGTTTGCAAGCTTTTCGTGGTTTCAAACGTTCAAACATGTGATTTGATGTTGCTCCTATCCTATACATTATGGTGGGTGTCAAGGTCACCTGAAGGTCAGGTCAGGTCTTTGACCTTTGGTGACCTCGGGTGACCTCGGTTCACTTTTTCGAGTTGTACATGTTTCTAGACTAGTTTTTGAAACTGAATTCGAATATAGCAACCATTTGAACATTTACGAATTAGTTTTGGTGCCTTCGTAACATGTTAGGAAGCTGTCAGAGGCGGTTGACGCGTATTACGAATACCCGTCACAACCCGTACCGGTTGACCTAACCTGACCTGACCCGACATGGTCCAAATGCTTAAAGACATCATCTCTGATCAAAACTAACACGATATTCGTGATCAGCACCCCGGAAAACCACGTAGCAGCCACACTTTACGACTTTCTAACAGGTCCCGATTTTCCCGGTTTTCGGGTCATTGACCTGACCTGGAAGGACACCCGATGACCTAGGACCTTAAAATTGGGTATCATCGGCTTTCACGCATTCCATTTTTCCTGCAAAGCTCATTCTCGGTCGTCGCAACTTGTACGGACATTCCGTATAAGTTTTCGGACCTTCCAAAACTTGTACGGACACTGTCCGTAGTGTCCGTAGTGGTGGCGACGCCCATGGCGGTATGCCAAATTTGGCGGCGCTACGGGCGCCGTGTTTACGCTAGTTGCAAAAAAATCTTCGGGGGGAGGGGGGGTGCATCAACCCCCCTCGCCTTGCGAGGGTTAAGAAGTTGGCCACTAAGTCGACGCATTGTGGGATTCGATCCCGTGACCTTTGCATTTGAAGTGAGTCAGTGGGCTGTAGCACCATTCATGATGGTAATCCCGACGCCCTTTAACTCGAAAAGGTAAGATTAAGTCGTTCACTGAGCCAACGCCAAGGTGGGATTCAAGCCGTGACTTTTGTATTTAAAGTGAGTCAGTGGGCTGTAACAACATTCATGCTGCTGTTCTCGACCCCTTGAAACTCTAAAAAATACGATAGTTTCGGCTACTGAGCCAACGTCATGGTGGGATTCGAACCGGTGACCTTTGTATTTGAAGTGAGCCAGTGAGCTGTAGCACCATTCATACTGCTGATCTCGACCCCCTGAAACTTGAAAAAAGATAATAGCCGTTTTCACGACGGCCATCTGATACACATTTGGTGCACATCTGGTGCAGGTCAGGTGCAGATTTGGTCAAAACAGGTTCAGTGTGTCTCTTAGTAGCTATCAGCTATGAGCTAGGGTTACACTAACAGCTTATATGCCTGCTTTGTCGTATTATTAGAGAGCATGATCGATTAAAACACTGAAATAAATTCATAAAATGAAGATGTTTGCTGTAAAAGAGATTAGGTGCAGAGTTGGTCAAATCAGGTGCACCCGCCGGATAGCCCGTAGTGAAAACGGCTAATGTCGGCCGCTGAGCCTACGCCATAGTGGGTTTCGAACCCCTGACCTTTGTATTTGAAGTGAGTCATTGAGCTGTAGCTCCATCCATAGTGCTGACTGCTGATCTCCAAAACTCGGAAAAGTACGATGAAGTTGGTCACTGATCCAACGAAATGCAGAGATTCGAACCCGTGACTTTCGTATTTCCAGCGAGTCAGTGGGCTGCAATACCATTCATACTGGTGATCTCTATCCCCTAAAACTCGAAAAAGTACGATGAATTTGGTCACTGAGCCAACGAAATGCTGGGATTCGAACCCGTGACTTTTGTATTTACAGTGAGTCAGTGGGCTACAATACCATTCATAGTGGTGATCTCGACCCCCTAGAACTCGAAAAAGTACGATAAAGTCGGCCACTAAGCGAACGCCATGGTGAGATTTGATCCCATGACCTTTCCATTTGAAGTGAGTCAGTGAGCTGTAGTACCATTCAGGGATGGAGATCTGTCCAAATTTCAGGGGTGGGGGGTCCAGGTCGGGCAGATGGAGGCGGGCTGGATGCAGTACCATTGACTCACATAGCAGTAATTCGTTTTCAGGGGGGATCCTGACCCCCGACCCCCCGAGATCTCCACCTCTGGTACCATTCATAAAAGTACAATAAAGTCGATCACTGAGCCAACGTCATGGTGGGATTCGAACTGGTGACCTTTGCATTTGTAGTGAGTCAGTGGGCTGTAACACCATTCATGCCGCTGAACTCGACCCCCTAAAACTCGAAAAAATACTATAAAGTCGATCTCTGAGCCAACGCCATTGTGGGATTCAATCCCATGACCTTTGCATTTGCAATGAGTCAGTGGGCTGTAGCACCATTCATGCTGCTGAACTCGACCCCTAAAACTCGGAAAAAGTACGATAAAGTCGATCACTGAGCCAACGCCATGGTGGGATTCGAACCCGTGACCTTCGCATTTGCAGTGAGTCAGTGAGCTGTGTTCAGTGCCCACACCAGTGTTTCTGAGGGCCCTCACAATGGCGCCTGGGAGGGCTTGAAAAGAGTCAGTGGGCTGTAGCACCATTCATACTGCTTATCTCGACCCCTTAAAACTCGAAAAAGTACTATAAAGTCGGCCTCTAAGTCAACACCATGGCGTGATTCGAACCCGTCCCCTTTGGATTTGAAGTGAGTCATTGCGCTGTAGCTCCATTCATAATGCCTATCTCGACCCCTAAAACTCGAAAAAGTACGATAATGTCGGCCACTAAGTCAACGCCATGGTGGGATTCGATCCCGTGACCTTCGCATTTGCAATGAGTCAGTGGGCTGTAGCACCATTCATGCTGCTGAACTCGACCCCTAAAACTCGGAAAAAGTACGATAAAGTCGATCACTGAGCCAACGCCATGGTGGGATTCGAACCGCTGACCTTTGCATTTGAAGTGAGTCAGTGGGCTGTAACACCATTCATGCCGCTGAACTCGACCCCCTAAAACTCGAAAAAGTACGATAAAGTCGGCCACTAAGTCAACGCCATGGTGAGATTCGATCCCGTGACCTTCGCATTTGCAATGAGTCAGTGGGCTGTAGCACCATTCATGCTGCTGAACTCGACCCCTAAAACTCGGAAAAAGTACGATAAAGTCGATCACTGAGCCAACGCCATGGTGGGATTCGAACCGCTGACCTTTGCATTTGCAATGAGTCAGTGGGCTGTAGCACCATTCATGCTGCTGAACTCGACCCCTAAAACTCGGAAAAAGTACGATAAAGTCGATCACTGAGCCAACGCCATGGTGGGATTCGAACCGCTGACCTTTGCAGTTGAAGTGAGTCAGTGGGCTGTAACACCATTCATGCCGCTGAACTCGACCCCCTAAAACTCGAAAAAGTACGATAAAGTCGGCCACTAAGTCAACGCCATGGTGGGATTCGATCCCGTGACCTTCGCATTTGCAATGTGTCAGTGGGCTGTAGCACCATTCATGCTGCTGAACTCGACCCCTAAAACTCGGAAAAAGTACGATAAAGTCGATCACTGAGCCAACGCCATGGTGGGATTCGAACCGCTGACCTTTGCATTTGAAGTAGTCAGTGGGCTGTAGCACCATTCATGCTGCTGAACTCGACCCCCTAAAACTCGAAAAAGTACTATAAAGTCGATCACTGAGCCAACGCCATGGTGGGATTCGAACCCGTGACCTTCGCATTTGCAGTGAGTCAGTGAGCTGTTGTAGCTGCACCTGTGGCTGCACCCTCCGTGGCATTTTCCGACCGGCTGTGCTCCCCTAGATTTCGTACCTGAAGCCGCCCCTGCGTGCTGCGAGGTTAAAATCACTAGCCCTAGAGACCTTCTAGAGACTTTTCAGCGGTGACTTGAGTGGCAACCCTTCGTGTGACGTCTGCTCTACCAATGCCCATCATAGAACCCTAATTTTGGTCAAATGCAGGGCCCTGTTCAAGTGTCCGCGGCCGCCGCGGCTCCCGCGGCCAAAAAGGCGGAGCCTAGCTGGCGGCCAATCAGGCGAGAGCAGCATTCTGGGTAATGCGTAGCTCTTCCTGCGGCTCCCGCGGTCGCTCGGGAGCGACCGCAAGGAAACTTCGACATAAACTGCGCGCGTGAGACAAAATATTGCGGATTTCGCTCTTTGTTTCGGTTGATTTTATTATGTTGTTAAGGTATAATTGCTTCAAAAAGGTACTAATTGAAGTAATAAAGCCATTATAAAGCAATTACGCACAAAATTTTGATCAGCATCTCCTTTCAAAACAACCGTGCCATTCTCGTCGCCGGCCGCAGCGGCCGCAGCCGCAAGGGTGTTCAAGCTAACCGAAATTAGGCTCCGCCTCCCGGCCGCGGGAGCCGCGGCGGCCGCAGAGCACTTGAACAGGGCTCAGATGAGCAGAAAAATATTATTTTATTTGATGATTTTCCATGCCTACCTATGTCTTGACGAGGGTTCGTTGGTTACTGTGTAGATAAACTATGGTGAAGATAACATCATCTACCTTAGCCTAACCTTGCGTACTAACCTACACTACAACTTTTGGTTAATGTTCAGAAAGAGTGCGATTCACTTTTCAGGCATACATTTTGTACATTGTTACACTATTTGACATCCTAAATCCAGATAGGTATGATGATGCAAATACAAAACAAAAATCAAACCTTACCTAACCCCATGTTGCGTATTCATATCAACTCAAACTGTAAATCAGATATTTTTTGAACAAATACCCATCTTTCATCCTTTCAGCTGAGCATACATACAACCTACTAAACAGCCTAGGTATCAACCTACCATTCATACTTTATCTACACATACATATTGATATGTGGGGTATGTTTTGTTCAGTAGGTTATAGTAGGTCGGGTGCCTACATGCTATCATTTGTCATGCGACATGCTTCGCTTTCAGGTGGTGTCTTGTGGGCTTTATAGTGGGCTTTGTGGCCCTCTCTAAGTGCAAGGGTTAAGTGTTGATGCACATAATGCAATGTGTTTTTTTCCATCGGCGCAGGAACCTCACGTTAAGTGTGTGTGTGTGGGGGGGGGGGGCAGAGAACTTCAATGTCACTTTGTGGGAAACCCCAATACCCCTATGAACAAATTCTTTGCAGTTTTGTGCTCATCTCACGTTGTCGAACTATTTCTCACTCTTAGTGTTGACTTTAAATGAAAAATAAATATTTTACTTTAAAAATTAGCTTAGCTGAAAAGTGCCCCCCCCCCCCTCGCTCCTACGCCTATGTTTTTTTCCTTAATGGCGCAAATCATCCAGACTCATATGAGAAGGGTAGGTAGCTAGCTACAAAACCAATGCCTCAATTGTTTATTGTTTTCTTACAATAAGTCCCTCCTCTGCCAACCGCACTAAACTATCTACTGTCACAATGCAGTGTGCGTCATGATTTCTCAACTCTGTGCATACAATATGTTTCCATTTGGCAATCACACATTGTTTTTTTACAGGCTTACCGGTCATGACTGAGGCCGGCATCTCACCTGTCCTGGCTACGCCAAATCACTGTGGATGCCGGATGCCGAGGACCGGAGAGCCAACCGCTTTGAGGCGTGAGCTCTGTGGCGTGGCTCGAGTGATCACCAGGTTCTGACGGCTACGGCGCCGTCGACCTGGTTGAATAGCTGGGGCCTGAACGAGGGTGACCTCAGTACGGTGGGCAATCGGTTACGTCCGAGGGGCGCTCGAACACGCTGCCGTCGCGTGGCTGCCGGTGGCCGCCCCCTCGCACGTGGATCTCCTGGAGCGAGGACTGTGAGAGGCGGCCGCATCATCACCTGTGTCCGCGCTCAACACCGTGCCACGCACTAATGGCGTAAGCCCGACTTTCTCCGATGGAGGAGAGAAACTGGACGCCGGCTGCCAGGCTGCAGGGGAGGGCGCTGGCTCTGCCATTAGGGGACCCCCTACGCGCGACCGCTGAGGCCTCGGCACCGGCGCACCTGTCTTCGGTCCGAGGCTGGAGATTGCGAGGCCGCCAGGCCTGGGCGAGAGCGAGAATCCCACCGTGGCAACAGACGACTGGCGTCACCTTCCGGTTGGACGTGTGCCCGATCCGGGCTGGGGCCACGGCGGCGGAAAGGGAAAGCGTGGCTACTAGAGCACTTCACGGATAGGCTTTTTAGGATCCGGCCCGGCCCATATCCGGCAAGTCATATCCAGATCCGCCCATTATCCGCCTTTCTTTGAATATCAGAATCCGGCCCACCCATGGCCCGTATTGCAGCCAAACTTCCAAAAAATCCGTTTCACCAATAACTGGTTTCACCCAAAACTGGACTAACAAATTCAATCTAAGGGACCAGACAGCCATACAAGTCTTGTGACAAGTGAGTGTCATAAAATGATGCCTATTATTTTAATCAAACCTCCGCTGCCGCTTAGCACATTAGGTTAATTTTTAACTTCAATGTTGAATGTTAAAATTTTGATCCGTTTTGATCCGGGTTCAACCTTCAATTCCCAAATCCGGCCCGCCCATATCCGTTCTTTTTTAAAAAAAATTTAGAATCCAATCCTATCCGGTCCGCGGATTTATCCGTGGATAACGGATTTATCCGGCCCATGAAGTGCTCTAGCGGCTACGCTGCACCTCGCGTCCCTGCCCCTGTGTGCTGTCGGGTTTTGGACGGACGGATCTGCGGAGGGCGGAGTCTTCAGGCGCTGGGTGGGAGCCGTGCTGGTCTGGCTGGACGAAGAGGCCGAGGAACTGCGGGCCCCGGCCGGAGAGCTGTGCTATAGCTACCGCGCGGAGATGGTGGCGCTGGTGACCGGTCCGGAGACCCTACTCGGAAGAGACAGAGACCAGGACCTGCGTTCCGTACCTATCTGCTAACTGTGCGGTGGTGCTGGTGTAGTGCAGCATTTTTGGATGGATAGCTACATTTCACGATTAAATAGCTGTTACGTTTCAGTGCAGGTGGCGTGACGAACAATGTGGTATCTGTTGGCCACTTCTGCGACCGCTGCTATTTCCTACTCGAAGGCGGGCGGGCTGTTTGGCTGGGCCGGCAGGATGTTCCCATTATGTGTCGAGGACAAAGCGAGTATATTCATGTTCTTTTAATGCACAGAGGTCTGTTGTATATTTGTCTGAAGTTTTATTTCAAGTTGACGGTTGCGTAGGGCAGATTCATCTTCTCTCTTTCATTTTTGTTGCCACTTTAGCGTTCATGTTTGTTATGTGTCCTGGTCCGGCTTGGTTGTCATCGTTATTCGTGATGTATTTTATTTTATGAACATGCTGGTGATCAATGCAATACACTTTTGGTTAATAATGCTGCTTTAGCTCTGATTTTTTTTATTTAGGCCTCCCTCCAACGGGCTCTGGTTGTCCCATTTACAGGAGGGCTCCTCCTCCTCCCGGCCGCGAGTTACCTAAGTGTGGAACTACCCAGCGCCGAGCCGGCCGGATGACGTCACACCACGGCCAGCGCCGGCGCGGCGGCAGACTGGCCGAGATTGGCATGGTCTTAACTTGGCGAAGAGGCATCGGACGCCAAACTTCTGCTGCAGCTATTAATCACATTTCATGCGTTTCTTCCATGTGTATGAGCTATCAAGTCCTTCGAATACCTAATGTGTAGGTGAGCGTACCTGCATTTAGCAGTGTGTGCTATGCTATGTGGATGGGCACATCCGACAGTCGACACACTGCGCAATGGATTCCGATATTGCTTGGCTGATTCTGGCTTTGTGTCTTCGAACGAACCATTGAAAGGGAGGACGTCATTTTAAAAGGTTGTTAGGTGCACTCAAACGTTTTAAGATAAGCAACTGCTGATTGAATTTCTGGCGAGGGTTGGTGGAACGCTCTGTTTACAAATGAGTATCTACCTACCTAGTACCTACCTGCAGTGGCAAATAACTGGGCCGCGGTCAGTTAGGCATGATTCACGAAGTCCCTTATCTTTTATTAGACTTATTAAGCCCAATGTGCAACATTTGCGTCTTTTCGCGTTGTATCGGGTAGCAAATAAGAAAATCTGCTTCTTCTCCACAGCCCTCAATTCAAGAAACCGTCCTTTTCCTTATCGCATCATTCCAGAACATAATTTTCAAACATGGGTATCTTCCCCACAAAAAAACTGAAGCAGTTTCCTTCGGCTCCAATGCGCCACTCGCCCAGGGAGACGGAAGTGTTATATTCTCGGCGGTCCAGTCTGCATTCTGCAGCACACTCAAACTTGGCGGACCCCCAGCGCACGACTGAACGATTCGTATTGTTGTGAGTGACTGTGACAATTCACTGGTGGTTTCGGAATAATTAACAGGCGGCGCAGCCCAGTGCCTCTTACAATGAATTACAGTGGCGAATGCACTATTGCAGAGAAGAAATGGATTGAGCAGATGCCCAACCTCGCTGTATTATCAACTAAACATTAGGTACGCTTTACATTTTAATCAGGCAATCATGTAAACAAACGACTTGCGAGTTGCGACCCTTCCGCCTTACATAACTCGGCAGAATGCCCCTGAGTCGGCTAAACTACACTGCATCTCTTCAAACCTTAAGTATTTTACAATTTACCACTCAGCTATGCAACAGGCTTATAATTTACTGCTCAAGTCTCAACCCCTTTTTCCCTATCATCTTTTTGGCACCGTCAATCGCCATCTGCGCTGCCCACTTCCAGCAAATAATCCGGCCGTCTCCAGTTCTCTGGCAGGGGCTTCCAAACTCAAGCGAACTCGCCGAAGTTTCGCCATTCAATGCGCAGGATCTGTACAATTGAGTTTGAGAGCCTCTGGGTTGGCTCGGCGCGCCTGCGCCGCGCCGTTGGTCCGGCCGAGTACGCGAGTGACGTCATGCTATAAGCGTCATCCCCCGACCAAAGTCACCAATCAGAGCCCTAGAATCGACTTGTAGTTCCACACTTAGGTAACTCGCCTCCCGGCCCTTTGTGGTATGTCTTGATTGTACGACTGCGATAGTGATTTTCCTCACCAAAATATGCAGGTAACCAATGTAAATGCTGCCAAAAGTTTGTCATTACGTGATATGTCTAAAAAAACATCAAGTTCCTGAACGTGGTCGTGTACTACGTAACCGGAAACTCAATAGGACGTGGAATTCTGTGAAGCCAAACTACAGAAGTGAGGCTGGCCACGCCAAAATCAAGTGAGGTATGTCTAGCCTTTCTTCCGCCGCGAAGGCTTCGACAGACTATCCCCGGGTTCGGTGTCTCTCGAACTACGAAGATTTAACGTCGTCCGGCCAATCCTGGTTATTTAAGGTCAGCGGGGACTTAGCTGTGGTTATGGAACAGGATTGGCCGTCCGAGAGACTCCGAACCTGGGGTATGTTGCAGCACGGCTATGTCGACCGAGTGTCGTCGCAAGCCTGCCCCACTCGACGAGAAAAAGTAAAACCGTCCCGTCCTAGGCTGACTAGGCTTAGCTAGGTGGCAGCACAGTCGCGCCGGCAGGGGGCAGTGCCACAACCAGCCGACTGATATTTTCGTGTGACGTCAGAACCGGTGCCTCCCTGGGGCTGTTCACGGGCTCCTGTGTGCGGTCGGACCGTACACAGCCTCTAAGCTCCGCCCACTGTGTCCCTTGTCAGCCTTCCGTCACCGCTCCTGGCCGGTCGGGACCTGCCACAGCGGACTGTCCACCGCACGCAGCCGTGACGTCAGAACCGCCTACCCATCCCCCAAGCCATCCCCTACCCCCACGCCTGCGGCCCACAACGCACACACCGCACTCAGCAGTTTGCGGTGCCCGTGAACACCCCTCTGGTACCTATGCTAGCTCAGTTGTTTTGCTTTTTAGTTTTTACATAAAAATAGAAGCACACCCAATCACGGTATTAGTATATAAAAAAACTTTTTTTTTTTGCTTTACTTCTTTCTTCAGGTACCTTACCAGTACAGGAACTTTGATGGCCACCATGGCCATTGGCCTCAGGCCTATAGACTCAGGCCTGTAGGGTCCCTATGGCATCGAGCTCCTGAACTGAGGACTCTCGTGGAAGCTAATCTAGGAATTAGGATAGAGTATCTGATTCAGTTTCAGTAATTGTCCGGTCTGGTCTTGAATTGGTTGAGAGTGGATACCAGGATCACACAAGGCACCAAATCAGAACCAAACTGAACAAACCAGAATGGAACAAATCACCTCTCATGAACTAACCAATTGCTGCCTTGCCCCTGATCTTCAGCCCTCCAGGATGGACTCTCAGAAATTCTGCCTCAAATGGGACTGGTTCCAGGACAGCGTCACGTCTGTGTTTGACCAGCTCTGCTCCGGAGGGGAGCTGCTGGACGTCACGCTCTGCTGTGAGGGACAGCGTGTCTGGGCCCACAGGATGATGCTGTCTGCCTGCAGTCTGTACTTCAGGGAACTGCTAAAGGTGGGTGATGGGGCAATTAACCTACTAGAGTCCTGGAGAGTCATATGGGGCTGATGACACTGACAAATGACTTGAAAACTTTGAATGTAATGATTATTGTCATTCGAATATGATAGCAGTGGCATTTAGTTATAATACTGACAAAATACCTAAAAGGCTTTGAACTTTGAAGTGTAATTGTAGTTTACCTTGCAGTCGGCACGCCCCTAACCCTCAGCAAACAAACAAATGTAATTGTAGTCTTGCTTTAAAGAGTAAAAGACATGCTTTAAATCTAGCAGAGGAATGCATTTTCTTCATAGGCATCCTGAATAACTTAAATAGCGATTCGGGACGTCAAAATAACAAATATTACGCTTGTTTAGTAGAACAAGAGCCGAACGTTCCTTCCTTGGGCGGGCAGGCGGTTCCGAGAGTGGTTACGGGGTCTGCAAGCCAATAAGGGTCATTTCATGCTTCTCTGGGTGGCTGCCTATGTTCTTGCAGGTAGTGGTCTTGCACATGCAGCTCAGTGCTAATCCATAATGATAATTAAGTAGTACCTATAGCCGTAAAAACACTGACCTCATTCCCCTTCCCTCTCAGGCTCGGCGGCTAATGCTCCGGGCTCCTTACCAATGACGGAGGAGGGTCCTTCTCTCCGCCTCTGAGGGAGCTCACTGAACTACCCTCTCGCCCCGCGCCATCTGCGCCGTCCTCACCGCCGGCCGACCCGACCAACGAGAATGACACAGACGCCCTCCGGCACTGCTGGCAGAGGAAACTGAAGGAGAGCGTCGCTGCCAGACTACCCGGTGAGTGCGGGTTCGAATCTCGAGAGGAGCGGAATTTTTAAGAGTGATTTTGGATTGGGGCGTAGCTCGCCACCGGTCTATATAGATAGGTGGCCGGCTTGTTTGGTAGAAAAAGCAGTCTATTTGCAATCAACTGAAATACCACACCATGGTCCTGGATTTGAGTAGTTTTGTTCTGTGTCGCTGTGCTAAGATTTTACCATCGCGATTGAAATCGAGAGACTCCTGACTGTTTGAATTCCCAGCAATGTGGATATTTGATAGCTTTTGTTCGTAATGTTACTGGTGTTTGTGTTTCGAGTGAACCGTTTTAATTTACGTGTGATTTGCGAGAGTTATTTATCAGATTAATGGCCGTTACTGGCGTCTTCAACCGCCCGTAGTCGGGTGCCTGGCGCCGCCCATGGCGCCTCCCGGTGGGGCGTGCCTGGCGCCGCCCCTGCCGCGTGGCCCGGGGTGGGGTCAGCGGTCGGCGGTCGAGGCACGGCGTGTGGAAGCCGGCCGTGGTTAACGGCTCGCTCCCCCGTGCTCTTGGTGCGTCCCGTCAGAAATAAATTCACCGCATTGATTGCAGGTGTCATTGGCTCCCACTATCAACATCTTTTAATTTGTATGTGTGTGGGCGTGTAACATGGTGGTACGTGATTTCCTCGCTACGTGTTTTCCTGATGGACGCCTTTTATTTTGAATGATATTGAGGGTTTCTTTGAAAATTGTGTGGAGCCCCATTATGATTAAAAAATAAGGAAGTAATAGCCTTTGGCTCATTGTATAATTGACAATGAGGACGCCTTTTCTCTTCAACAGAGGGCACCTACCTGCACCAGCCGCCGTCCCGGTACATTTTCCCCGTAGCGGAGGTGCTGGTCGATCCTGACGACTCGGACAGTGACAGAGATTCGCTGGACTCGGACCGCGGCAGCGACGATGAGGTGAGTTACTGCGAGTGAGTGGGTTCGATTCTAACCACAGGATGTTGTGTTGTACGATTTGTTTCGTATTGCGACAGTTTTTATTCAAGTTTAAAGAATCGGCGTTGTTAAATGCTGTCATTCATATCGAATGCTGACTTTCAACTCCTGAGTTGCGTTAAATGTGTTCGTGTTCGGGACTTTTTATGTTGGAAAACGGAAATAAATCTGTTCGCATTCCATATGTTTGTAGGATTCCTAATTCCTATCAATTTTTTCGTTTTATTATGGTTCATTTTTTCTAAGTTTGACCCTCACTGTAAGCATCTTTTTGAACTCAGCACGAGAATTGCTAGCTGACTTACTGAGAAAACTGGTCAGCGCACATTGTATGGAAGATATGAATGATATATTCAAAAGATGGTTTGAAAACCGATGGTGGATCGTTATGTTATACGCCGTGCGATTTCTTAATTAGTTCAGTAATAATTCCTGACAAGTCTTCTATCCCTGTGGGGTCATAAGTAAGGCCAAATACGAGCTACGAGTCTGAGAAATGGGAGCCAGGTAGAACTAATTTTGATCAGGTTGATCGTCTGTGAAATCAATGTGCGCCAATCAGTTTTCTCAGTAATTCAGCTAGCAATTCTCGTGCCGTGTTCAAAAACATGTTTACAGTGGGGGTCAAACTTAGAAACAAACGAACTATAGCATGTAGCTCCATCATCAGAGCTCATAATCTCTCGGAAGCGCATCATCTCTGGACACATCAGGGCACGTCGGGACAATAACACCCCACCCCTCTCTCTGTCTGCAGTATGTGACCGCTGACGACCATCTGGACCACTCCTCGGACACTCCAGAGACGGGCGTCACGCCTCCGACTCCTGTCCTCCAACGCCTCCTGGACGAACTGCAACCTCTGGAGCATCATCAGGAGCACCGGGAACGTCTTCTTCATCACCGGCTGCAGTGAAGACTTCAGCTACGCCGACGGTGAACCCTTCTTCGACATCGGATATCGAGGTGGAGCCAGAAACGGTGGGTTCGCCGGGCTCAGCCCTGAAAAGGCCGATCAGTGAAACACTAGGTGGAGAGGAGGGGAGCGGTGTGAAGAGACCGGCGTTTGGTGGCGGAGGTGAGCCTGGCGTGTCTCCCGCCACCGCCAAAACCACCCCCGCCGCCGCCGCCGCTGGAGACAGTGGTGGTGCGCAGAGTGCGTCGGAAAATACTACCGGCGCAGCTGCGGCAATCAGCTAATCTACCGCTTCGGGATTCGGTAGAACACACCGAAGTTGGGTTCAGATTAGTGACTTTTCACGTGAATACCTACACTGGATGGTGACCATAAAGATCTATTTTCATACAGTGTCTATCAGTGTGCGTTAAATAGCGTTGTGTCCTGTGAATAGTGCAGTTAGACTGAGTTTGGAACCAGGAAGTGGAAATCATGAATCCGACCGATTCGGTTAGAAATCAATAATGTGAACTGTTGTGGAGCTATGAGCCAATGCCCAATGGTGAGCTAATTTAGGGCTACGAGCTCCATGGAGCTATGAGCCAGTGGTTAGGTTCATTGAGATTTCAGCCAGTGGTGAGCTAATTTGTAGCTCGGGATGAGCTAATTGGAGAATCTGTTGACCAGGGATGAGCTATATGAACCAGTGGTGAGCTATCCTGGAGCCCTGAACCAGTGTTGAGCTGATTATTAATCCCCTTTGTCGGCAAGTAGCCGAACACGCCAGGCGCGGATACAAGGGGGGGGGCCATGGGGGCCATGGCCCCCCCCCCTTGGCCGATTTTTTTTCAAAAATAAAATAAAAAGTTAAAAAGCTGAAAAGGGGGCCTCCTGAAAATAAAGTGGCCGAAATCCGATGAGTTTTTTTTTAACCTACCCACTTAGTTATTTCTTAGAAGACTAGCTGAGAAGACTTCTTTGTTAGAAGATTGGTAAAGCTTTTCATAACTTGGAGGTCTCTTATACTCACAGAGATGACCACTTTTACAGGGCCTCCTAACCTGCACAGAGGGCCTCCAAGCCTGCACAGATGTTGAGATGTTGCCTGAACAGCTAGATAAGCTCAATAGACGCAGTTTTTTTTGGGGGGGGGCCAACAAGTGGGAAGATGGGGCCTCCAACAGGTGGGATTATGGGGGGGGGCCTCCTGGTTTCTAATGGCCCCTCCCTTGGAGATTTTCTGGATCCGCCCCTGGAACACGCACCCACCAGATAACCAATTTTATTCGTGACATCATGAAACACCGGAAGTTTCTTTTTTCTTCAGTTCTTCGCTTCAGTCTAATCATGTGTTTCAGAATAAAAAGAACCATTTCATCTATCGTTATTGGTGATCGATTTTATTTTTCCATTTATAACCGCTCACCTTTCAAAGTAATGGCATGTTTTAGATACATGCATGCGTTACTTTCAATTCAGATGATATTTGATCGGAAATGAGATCATTTGATCGCGCCCGATGTAGCTGAACCTACAATTTTCTCTTTATCAAAGGTCAGGAGCAGGGCCTCGGCTAACATGTTAACTACTGGGGCAAATGCCCCAGTAGAGTCGAGGAATGCCCCAGTAGTGGTCAGGCTTTGCCCAACCTCCACAAAATGAGAATATATCAATATTAACGTACATTCTTTCATTCGGGAGCGGTTGAAGACGTTTGTGGCAAGAAATCAGGGGCGGCGGAAGAGGGAGTGCACGGTGTGCAGCTGCACCCTCAATTTCCATCCAAAAACATAGGCGTACAGCCCACCGCTAAAGTAATGTAAGGTTTTACCAATCTCAACGATTGGCTTTGACTGGCGATTGTTTAATGCGGAGTGATCGAAAAGAAGATGTCAATAGCTAAAATTGCAGCTGCAAGGGTGACGACTGACGATACATATAAGCTACATTCAAAGTTTCATTGTAGTCTGACTAATCGTTCCTAAGCTTCAGAAGCAGAACATACCCATGACTGAAACCGCACATTACTTCTGCTGTGGACTGTACATTAGCAAGCATATCTTTTTACACCCCATAATCCATCTTCGTTCGAAAGAGCGTCAAAAATAATGACGAAATTACTTGAGCCACTTTTTTGGTGAGGTCAAAGGTCAGGTCATGGTGAAGGCCAACTTTCGCCGATTTTCAGGTCGAATATCGACAGTTTACAAGATGCCGACGCTTAACTCGGGAACCAATTAGAGCTACAGCACCGCGGAAAAGCGCATTTGATAGCCATATTAGCATGCTTTCTGGTTATTTCTCTTAGATTTGACCTAACGCCAACGGTTTTGCCTGCAAGGGGCAAAAACTACTAAAGACGATTTTGGGGGAACAGTTTTTCTGCAATAACTTTTGACTCATGCTTTGCACGAGCCAAGGCCCAATGCAAGCGCTTTCTTTTATCCGACATCGTGTTCCTCTCGTCAAGACGCATCAAATTAACTACAATTTGACCTTGAAGGTCAACTTGAAAATTCGACCTCAGGTTCAAGTCATGATCTGACCGGAAATTGTCATGTTGCATATCAGTCGATCTGCATCGTCTAACCAAACACGTCTAAGGCATTTTCATCGCTCTAGCATGCCTCTTTCAAAAGTTATTCGCGAAAAACTGTTAGATACCATTCGTGAACTGAGATGACCTCAGGGGCATAAAAAAGGGTCACGGGTGCTATTTTCATGTTCAGTGTGTCAAAGTCACGTACAGTGTTTTATAGTGTTTAGAATAACTTTCGTCCAAAAGAGGTGGTTTTGAATTTCTCCCATTGACTTATAATAGATCGGTCGCAAAAGTGAGCTGACCTTAGGTCACCGATATGAAAATTCCGAGATATAAATTTTGTACATGCTGTTGCCCTTATCAATCGCTGAAAGTTTCAAAGCGATCGGTCACTCGGTGTAGCTACGGCATACATGGAAACATTTCATGAGGTGAGGTCACTTGAAGTGACCTGGTAGCCTGATCTTGAATGACCTTGGTCTGAGATTTTTACAACACGTGTAAAATTGATGGGTGATGGAGCGCCGCCGTTTTTTAGATATCCGCGAAAAACCGCAGGAAAAACCGCAGGTGTTCAAACACCTGCGGCCCCCCCCCCCTGCTGGGGGGCCCCCCCAGCAGGGCGCCAACACACTTTGACGATTTGCCCCAGTAGTCAAAATTCCTTAGCCGAGGCCCTGGTCAGGAGAATATAATTATGAAGATATAAATGAATATATAATAGGATAAACACCGCATAACCGTGCATGCGCGTCGTGCATTATCGCCATTGGAAGCGAAATGACCACACTATTGACGTTCCCTGAGAACCCAAGAAACAGAACAATAATATATTTTACACTTAACTCTTATACATTCAAAGAACTCTTTCTGCGCCACTGAACTGGTGTCTGACGCAGTAGGGTGGAAGCCCAGCACTGTTTGGCGCTTGTGGTAATACCGGAAATAACTTATAACTAACTGGATGCCACTTTTCTGTGCCAGGCTGTGGGATGGCGCCACACTCTTTTTCTATCATTTGGTACGAGCGATCCCTCAGTCATTGTCTGCTCTGAGAGGACTTGGCTGAGTCTGTTTCTTGAGGTGGCTCGTACGTTGACTTGTCTTTACCCCGACCGTCCGTCATTGTACTTGCGGTTCGTCGGGTATACATGTTAAGTGTAGTGTTGGACGGTGAGCTGAAGTCCTCGTCATGCCATCTGACACACGAGTCACCAGACGTTGTGGTGATATTCCAACTAGAACATTCAGTGTTGGCACTCTTGTAGAGAATATGTGGCCCGCTGGAGGACTGGGCTACTTGGCCGATTAATTTTGATTTCAGTACAGTCCAAGTGAATTGGCGGATCAGCGGAACAAACCGTACGCTCTTGGGTACCCCGAACCTACGAGGTGTCATCCCGTGCCGCCGCTGGTGGAAAATCCACCTCCAGGTGACAGCCGTCGAGCTGGTATTCTGCCGGCTACCACCCGCGCACAAGGATATAAGGCACGTGGTCAGTACCACCGTCATCACGAGATGACTTGACGTTGACCGACGGTCTCGCGGTGCTGATTTGTCCGTCTATAATAACCTGACAAAATTCCAGCATGAGCTTGCGCATTGTGTGGGCCGGTAGTGCCTCCAGTGAGGTGTAGTGCCTCTAGTGCCTCTAGTGAGAATGGGCACTATTATTTGAGGTGGGTGCCCATTCTGTCTGTTCCCGAGGTTCCGACATGGTGACACTGCGTGAACCACAGGCTAGACTGTTGCACCTACTCGGTCTCACTCCCACTCATGACACCCCACCGCCTCAGGCGGTCACGTGATGGCACACAGCCCAGTGGCGGCGCCAGGCACGCCGCAGCGGGGCGCTGGGTCAGCGCGCAAGGGCGGCACCAGGCAAACAACCACGGCCCCAGTGATGTTTCCCGGTAACCCCATTCCGGATAGGATTGTATTGGATCTTAAATGCCATTGGATCGCAACAGGTGTTTACCAAGGCTGCGCTTTCGCTGATAAATGAGCTCCAAGGTTGAGCAATGAGCATAAATGCGAAAAAAGAAAATGTATTCATAATGACAAATATCACAACACAACTGTGTATACGTTATGTAACAAATATTATACCCTTACGAAGTGATAAATACCGAAGGGGTGGGAAAGAAGGGAAGGGATACGAAGGAATACCCACCCATGGATAGCCGAAAGGCCGCAGGGAGTGGCCGTATCTGGAAGGGGGCGAGTACCATGGTGCCATGGTATACCATGATACCATGTACCATACCATGATATCATGGTATACCACTCGTCGGGACGGCCGCGTTCCCGATCTTTCACGACCGGCTGTGGTCCGCTCTTCCGACGGCAGTGGCCGAACCAAGTTCACGTATATAAATGAACATATGCTGAGCCGCGGCGCCCTTTTGTCCGCACAGCAGCTAGTTGTAGCAGCGTATCTGTTCCCGTCTTGAACGCTGCCACAAAGGGAAAAAGCAGAAAAACAACTCTGACTTATTGATGAATCTGTTTGGGACACACTGCCCCAAACACTGTCTTGACGGTGGCCGTGATCGCCTTTACCCTGAAGGAGATCACGGTGCCGCCGCGGGCTGGAACCCGGGGTTGGCCCCGACGACAACCACCCCACGCAGAGGCGGGCTGGCATTTTATTGTTTGCCCCACCACGCGCTCTCACGGAAGTGTCACGACCAAATGAACACATCGCGCTGTTTAAAGCGGAGCTCGTCTTCAGATCCGCCTTTCTGTGCATCATGGCAACGATCACCTTTATCGTGAGATCGGATGCCTCAAGAAGGTCACGGTGATTCCATGCTATGTTCGAAGCAGTGTGTCGGTCAGCAGAGCTCGTCTTCAGACTTGCGATCCTGTGCATCATGCGTCTGGCACATAATTCTGTCTCGCCATCTTTGAGACCCATGACCGTCGTCCGGAACAACGCTACCAGCTTCTCCACAGCCTCAGCGTTCATCTTGTTGGTCGGTTTGCCGGCTGCTGCTGATATACCCACCACGCTGACAATATCGTCACTAGAGTCAGACTATACTGGGTCAGCTGTCTCAGGTACCACCTCTTCCTTTACCTCTGATGGCTCTGGCTCCTGAGCGGTGTCTTTCACCCTCTCCGAGAATTCAGCAAAAAAAAAAACAAAAAAAAAACGAGAAGCGGCCCCGTGGCCGAGCGCCACAGACACCAGCCAGCCAGTGACGAGTCTCCTTTCACCACGCGGCGCACTTTGGCAGAGCGATATTGGCTCCCAGCCTGGCCTTAGCGCGCAGGCCTCAGGATTTACCATCCCTACGCCTCCCACCCTCCTCGTATCTATCTAGTTTTTACACGCACACATACACGGACTAGCAGACACCCACCTTTCGTCGTCGTCATATGACGGATAGCGGGACAGCTTGAAGTTGCCGTCAACACGAACACCGGCCAGCTTTTGCCCACATGCTTCGCAAATCGCATGACATGAAGTATGTAGCCATCATCGTTTGCTGCTCGAGCTCCATGTTTGCCCATTCTGAGTAGGCCTTCTCAAACCGTTGGAGATCAATGGGCGCCACATGAGAAGTAGTGAAGCGCTGTGAATTTGGTTCTTTTCTCCAGCATTTGTAAAAACGCTCTAAGCGGTCACAGGAGATGGAAACCGAGCTCCCTCCACATGATTAGCACATTCTTCGTACCGTGAACGTTTGGACGAATGACGTCACAAATTAGCCGCAGCCGCTAGTCGCCGTAACGGAAATAATTTTAATTCGTTACGCCACATGTGTTATGCGTGCTATGCTACCAAAAGGCTTATATGCTATGCTAGCAATGCTGTTCGTGCTATCAATCTTGCAGTAAGAATATGCTATCAATATGCCTACTTTTGTTTGTGTAGGTAGAGCTCAATCATCCAGGTTCCTCTATTTCTTGGCTCTGCACCCTTTTCCATAGTTGTCATCATCTGAAGGAGAAGGATCGTCATTATCTTGTTGGCTTCCGAAATACTCCTGTTTTTCTGCTTCCAGCCCCCACTTCTCCGTGATGACTAAAGTGCA